ATCTGCAGTCTCCCATCTTCGGACAAGACTACCATCTTCAAGCTTCAACTGGTCCCATTGTACCCAATTGTTCTTTGTCAGTGGGCTTAAGCTAGACATCTTCTCCCAAGCAGGGCGCAAAACACTTACTTATAGGAAATAAATTATTGGCTTCAAATCTTGGTCTTTCTCCTGCTCTGCTTTAATATTTATACCTGGTTCCATTTCACCATCATCAACTCTTTTAGTCACTTTTAATTCAGCTTGATGGCAACAGGTGAGTTCGACCTCTCTTTTGCAGCAATGACTGCAGTAATTTTTGCAGGGTCTTCAACTCAGTCCGTCGGCATTTCCATGAGAATTTCCTTCTCTATATTCAGTATCATAATCATACTGGTCTATTTTTCCAATACAACGTGCCAGTTGTCCCTCTGGGTTTTTTAATGATCTTAACCAGCGTAATGCAGCATGGTCTCTCCTGATGGTAAACTTGGCTCCATATAGGTAAGGATGAAAATATGTCAGACTATAGCAAGGAGTTCCCTCCATGTTACACAGTAGTTCCTCTCTGGACTACTCAGGACCATACTGAAGTAGCCCACCACATGTTCGTTTTCGCCCACTTTCTGAGACAACACTCCTCCAATTCCGACATTACTAGCAGCACAATCCATTATGTGCCACAGTGAGGGATTTGGAAGCTTTCAAAAGTGGAGCTGAGGCCAATTTTTCTTTCAATGTCTATCTCTATCTCTATATCTATTGCTGCCATCAAATATGCTAAGCTGTAGTTTGATTTGCCACGTCTCGTTTCCATCTTCTTTTTTTTTCCGTCCCACTTTCTGACACCAATTTGTTGTGTATCTGCTTGTTTGTTAATTTCCAGTAGGATTTATTTCCGAGAAATTTCAGCGATACAAGTCCTTTAGTAATTTAAACTAGTTTATTCTTTCTCGATACAACTTTGCAATACACAGAATTTCCACAGTCAATACATTTGCAATCTCGATAACAAAACAAACACTTTATATTACCGTCACTACCGCTCGCTTGACTCAATTACCTGTCTCTATATCTATCTATCTATCTGCAACCATATCTCCGCTTTATTTGTAGGGCTTATATACAAAAAAAGAGGGCGCCTAAAACAGACTAGAGTTGCGAGGAAAAGTCAAGATCTTTCGAGAATCTCATGACGTGTTACCAGCGTCGCGTGACTTCCGCTGTCGCAACAGGTTCATTATTGCCTGTATGTTGTGATTACCATTTATTACTTCTCATCTTCTAACTTTAGTATGTTTAAAAGAATTATTTGTTTATATTACGTACTGAAACCTATCTTATATTTCTAACCATTTCTTTAACAAACAAAAAACACACAATGACGTGTTTCATAATTAAAGTTAACGACAATTAAATTATATGAATTGTTATGACAGCGGAAGTCACGTGACTCTAGTAACACGTCATGAGCTTCTAGAAAATTCATGTCCCTTCGTGAAGCCTCGAGTGTTTACTAGATGGGCGGTATTCTTGTATATAAGACCGCCAAAAAGTGACGGCAACAAGTGAGTCAAGCGCGTGAATCGTTCGTTCGTTGTGAATTATAGCGTTTGTTTAAGTTATAGAGTGACTGGGGAAATTAAGTGTATTGCAAAGTTGTATTGAGAAAGAATAAACTAGTTTTATTTAAGAAAGGACTTCTATCGCTAAAGTTTCTTCGGAAAGAAGTTTTATGGAAAATTAACAAACGAACAGAGACGTAACAGAATTAATTCATCCTTAATATTGCGAAATATATATAAGATATAAAATCTGAGAGTGGAAAAAAAACTCTTCTGGACACTAGTATAATAATTATAATTATACTTTTTGTCATTTAATAACTACATTACCACATTTAAGTGAGAATTTCAAACTGCATTATATATATATATATATATATATTTGAACGAAATTGATGTTTTAGGTTTCGGGTTGACGCTCATAGGAGGGGCAAAAAAATCTTTGTATGAGAATTTTGCTTGCATTGAACATAGGCGATTTGTACAAGTTTATTTTGAACTTGTATTTATTGACAGCAAATTGCAATGCCTGATATACTTGATAAATGGATTGATATAGCTAAAGAATGTAAATATTTGCCAGAAAATGATTTAAAGGTAATTATAAAATGCATTAGAGACATTTTTGTAGCCTGTTTCCTTGGACAGGACAGTGAGAAGACTAAGAATTAAGATGTATACGACGGATGTATCTTAGGGCTAAAATTGTTGAATAGTACGAGTAGGCTTGAATTGACGAGCGCTAGTGGAAGAACTACATTAAGTGTCTTATATTTAAGATGACCACTTATTTGGACATTTTGATACACGATGTAAATCACTAAATGTAAGAGCACTTAAGTGTGATTTATGTATCACTAGTTAGGCCTAGTTGTAGGGTCACCCTAAAATACAAGCTTAACGCGGCAAATTAAAGTATGCTTTGAGTTTGACTTTGATTTCAACAGGATCATTATAGAACCTTTGAAACCTCTAAAAACTTTCATTCTTTTTTTTTAGCCAGTCCATCCTTTCTTCAAGTTGCCTATAAAAGCATGTATTTTGATATGCTGAGCCTTTATTGCCTAAAATTGAAGAGGTCTGTGCCACAAAATTTTAATTTTGTAGGTAAGATGTAACCAGGGGTGTATTGGGCCACTAGGATACTGGGCAAAATCCTGGTGGGCCGGTGACGTCATGGCCAGCAGGGTGGTAACCTCGTTATACTGCCCCAGTGCTACTGACTAACCTACTGTAATCTCTCTCTCTTGTATATAAATATATATATATATATATATATCATCCTGACTTTTGAGTATTTGCCTGGGTCATTTTAGGCTCCCAATCTGCCCCTGGACGTAACCCATTGAAACTCGTGTGTTGCATATAATCATAGAATACCTATTTGTAGCTTGGGTGATTTATATGTTTTTATTTTAATGTCATGCATGGTTTTTACACATATATGTTATTTGAGGAAATTTTAAGTCATTTTTCAGCCATAGGGAGACATGACTCAGCCATCTGCCCATCAAATAGAAATAAGTGTTTTAGACAGGGTGGTGTGGAAAACAACTTGACAGAAGCAGTTCCAAAAATCTTTGTGTTGAAAGGGACTTTGGGTAACAGTTCAGTTAGGTATTGGCATTTTACCATTATTAATCATAAAATTGTCATATATAGGTAAGTAGCTGCAAAAATTAGTATTACTAATGAATAGCAGCACAATGCATGACATTAAAATAAAAATGTATGACTATCAAACTACAAACAGACTATTTTTTGTGTATTGATGTGACATAACAGTTGAAAAATAACCTGTATTTTTTATGTATTTCAACCTTTTGGTTCATATTTTTAGCCTTTTTTGAAGACCTTTAAAAATAATTAGCTACTTGGGCCTGCTCCATCCACATCCCTAGAAACTTTGCAAACAGTAAGCGTAGCATCCTGTTTTTTCTAAACATCATAACTGTCTTATTCATTTCATCATGCAACTATCTTTCTATATCCAGACTTTACTATCCTAAATTAACATAAACAATATAATAATCACTTTAAGCCATGCTTCAGGTGGGAAATGCTTAATGGGCTTATAATCAATCCAAGTTGCAAGAAACTTTGCAATTACCAAGTCTTTGCCTCACAAATTGTCTTCAAAGTGAGATCATGAGAAGAAGCAATAAAAACATTTATCCACAAGGTCATGAAGATAAACAGCAGTTTTGTAAAGGTTGTTGTTATTTACTATTTTATTATATTGGTACATTGATCTTAACACTTTCACAATTGACCCATATTGGGAACCTCCCAAAGCAGAAATTGTACATACCAAGCATTTTTGAGTAACAAATATGTACAACAACTTTTTACTTAATTTACCTTTGGTATGTGATGGTGATGTGTTTTAGTATTCAAAACTGCTATGCTTGCTATTTGCAACTTTTTTAGAGGTTTAATTCAAATTTAAGCAATACAAACCATTAAGTATTTTTCACAGTAGGTGCAGTTATTTTTTTATTAAATTGTGAATATCAATAAAAACTCAAGTTTTTTCTTGGAAGTATTGAGAGGGCTAAACTGCTACTTATGAAGTTTTTGGAGATTTGATTGACATTTAAGGCCATTAAGCCACATTGTTTTTTTTAGGCTTGTGTAGTGGTTTGGTTTCAGTATACAGTATACCATGTTAAGAGCAGTTCACTTTAAATGTGATATTTTTCAGTTGTCTGGATACAGTTTTTCAATAAGCATCTTTTGTATTTATTCACTACCATGTTAAACATTTTCTTTTCAATGCTGTTTAGATACAAAGTTTGTCTACTTTTTATTGTAATGGTGGTAGTAATACATTAAATAATTTTTATTCATTTCAAATATTCAGTTAAGAAGACAGAATAATGTGTACAAGGCAAACTGTCATAGATATTAGAATTTAACTGTTTTTCTAAGTATGGCATAAATGCCTTAAAATAATTCCCTTAGGTAATCAGTATGAACTTCACAAAACTAACTTTCAATGTGTAGAATTATGTTGTGTAGCATTATGTGTCATTTGGTAGATATAAACCTTTTCTTTCTATTGGTTATAATGATGTAACAGAAAACATCAGAGAAATTAGTGCCAATTTTTGGGTGTGACAAGCGAATCTTACTTTCTAGTTTACATTTCCATAAATGAAGAAGATTGAAGGCTATAAAATTTAGACTTTGGCTTATTAATATCTGTACTATAATGAGTAATTTACTTAGGATAACAGATAGGGAGCAGTGAGAAAATAGAGGATGGACAAATACAGGCAAGTAAATGTCACTTTACACATACAACGAGAAATTGAGAATTTATTTAAGTATATTCTTTTGAAAGTAAAAATTATATTAAAATTTGATTTATTAATTACATATAAATGCCAAGTTTATTCGTATGCATTGATAATAAAGTAGTTTCATTTTTGAATGTAACTGCGAAAAGCCATAACAAGTGCACTTTTCTACCTACCAATAACAAGAGGGGTGGTATTTATATGTTGTTTGGGTTAATGAGATCTGCATTAAGAGAATGTTATTAATAATTGATACATTTACTATATGCATAGTTTTTAAGTATATGGTTTAAATTTAAGCATATTAAATCACATAAAGTATTTTTATTATATTAAATATTGTCAGCATTAAGTGGCTCATTTGTAGTACTTAACATGATTATTATAATATGAATGTTAATAAAAACCCTAAATTTTATAATGGAACATTTTAGAAGTGCCAGGCTTGTTGTTTGCAAAGTTTTTTGGTTAATTCAAGCATATTAAGTCATGTTAAGCATTTCCATGTTAATTATATTAGGATGTCACACAGTAATAAACCTGTATAACTAGAAATACATTTTACTGTTTGTGAACTAACTGTTTTTAGGCCTAGTTGCAAAGTAGTAGCCTGTATTAGAGTTCAGCATAATGATGTAATACACCAAGAAACTGTTGTATAAAATCATTACAACTGCTTGAGCTATAATACTGAAAATAAGTCATAAGCTTAACCAATGTTTTAAATGAATTTTGAAATTCAAAGAGGACAAACACAGTCACACGTCTGCATTCATTGGTAAATCAGTAGGCAATAAAACTACTCTGTACTCCATGTTTTCCTCTGTTGGCAGGAATTTGTGATTTTGTGGTATCAACCTGTGATGTTAGTTTGGTTAAGTCAGTTTTTACAAAAGTGCCTGACTAAATACTTTAAACAAAGTTAATGCATCATTCCAAGGTTCCAGTTTATTTTGAAGACATGTTAAAAAAATTTAAATATTGGCTTTTTAAATTTCATGAATGTAAAAATAATAAACTTAATTTCAATAAAATATACTTTAGTTGCTTTGTAATCAAAATTCCAACACATTTGCATGAAAATATAAACTTAATTATAAACAACAACCTACAGACAACAAGGGACTATTTGTCCTTCAATGCTGTCTACATACCTACCCTTGGGAAAAGTAAATATATAAAATTTTATTTTTCAGGAAATCATCATTTCCCCTCTTTAATTTCTGTAAAATGCTTCTAACCACTGCTCTTTTTTAATAGGGGAATAAAATTTACATATATGTTGAAGCTGTGAAGCAGCGTCTATCTGGTTCAAGTGTGTGATATCATAAGTTCTGAAATAGTCATTGGTTTAGTTTTGAAAGATTGTAAGGTAGAATATGTAGATTACAAGTTTTTGTATATTTTTCTACTTCTAACAAGTTTTATTATTATCTCTGATAATGAATAGTAGATGATTAATGATTGTTAATAATTACTAGTATGTTTAGATTTTTTAATGAAATAAGTGGAAAGAGAATTATTATGTAATAAATGTTCCTTAAACATGTAATAAGTATGCATACTTTGAACATGTAGGTTCAAAAAATCAATTTAGCACAAAAATATAAAACTATATAACCTGAGCACTTTCAATAGGTGGAATCTTTTTTTTTTGATGTGTTCAGGTTATAGGGTTTTGTATTTTTGTGATGAAAAACCAGTGAAAATCACAAAATATTTAAATTAACATTGAAATAAAATATTCAATAACACTTTTGAGTTTTCTTTTTATGAAGAAAATTCTTATCACTGAAACTAATCACAGATTTGTATTAAAAGTTAGTCTCAAACAATTATATTTTACTCTGCTTGTCTTCACCTTTATAGTCATGCATGAAACAAATGACATGCTAAGGTATGACTCAGTATGAGTGAAAATTCACTTAAAGATCTTTTGTTCTTTAACATTTATATTAAACTTGTTAAATTCCCTTTTTTTAGGGAGATAGTATTATTTCTGGAGCTTTGTATAACATGGACTGTTGTTCCTAAGTTCTATTGTTTAAAGGACCCATGTCCTCTGGTATCAAAATTAATGGGACGTTTGGAATTTTGATGTACAATCTTGAGACACATTTTTCATATTGAAGAGTAAAACTAAAGATGAACAGTTTTATTATGTAGATGGAGTAGATTGTGTTGTACAATTCAACAACATTTTTAAGTTTTGAAAGTGAAATCTTAAGTAATATTCACGGATGGCAGCACATTAAACAAATAAAGTGGTTGTACTGAACTTGGTAACATTATGGGTGAGTAAATCTCTAATACCGTGATATTAACATTGTAAGAAGCAGTTGAGAGGTTCTCTTGGGTTATCTTAGTACAGTAATTGTTTGTGCATTTTATAACTCAATAGTAATGTAAATCATACTACAAATACTCTTATCCTTTATTTACTTTCTTTTATGCGTAGTCTTACAGTAATGAGTCCTAAGTAACACAGAAGTATAAAAGTAGCCTTGCACCTGGCCATCTTAAAGTAGGTATTGCACTTTTGATAATAGTGATATTTTTAAATCTTTAAACAAATATGATAAAAAGTGGTATTTGGATATTAGCAGATAAATATTTACTTAATAAACAATTTTGTGGCTATGATGATCAGATTTTCTAAAATTAAGACAGTAATTATGATTAAATACTACTTATTTATAATTTTTCTTTTTTACTGAAAATGGATTAAAATTGATACCAGAAAATGTAAGTAATGGTTTGTAATGCTGTATATGTAATTCTCATCTGCATTCATGTTGTGGTTTTATACAATCATTATCCAAATAAGTTGTATTTTTACTATATCATGATCAGTAACAACTTTTACTTTCAGACTTTTTCTACCACTGAGGTTGAGGATTCCAACCTAAATAAAACTGAGGGTCCTAAAACAAATTTTGAGGATCCCTGTAAAAATAATGTAGTTGTATAATATTGCAATTTCATTAGATATAGATATAATGATATTTGGCAATTTTTGAAAGTGTTTTTTTTTAAAAACAGTCCACACCTACAGAGGTTGAGTACATTGAATTTAATTGTTTATATAAAGTTTATAATTTTTTCAAACAGAGTTCACAGAACTGCAAGATCTTTTTATATGATTTTATTACTTTCTCTAAATCTTTGCTTCTCATTTTCAGAAACTGTGTGATATTGTATGTGATCTTCTTCTTGAAGAATCAAATATACAACCAGTCTCAACACCTGTTACAGTTTGTGGAGATATACATGGACAGGTGAGAAGATGTATAATTTAAAAGACTGTGTTTACGTACATTTATATATGTGTGTATATTAAGTGGTCAGAGCTACACTTCAACCACACAAACAAAACTGTTGTACTTTAGTAAGGGAATGAAATACATATAGCAAAAGATCCAAATTAAATCTCCATTAAGGAAAAACTATCAGTTTGCAGTATATATATATATATGAAAAATACATCTTGGTCAGGAGAATGTCAATTGAAACACAACAAAGATAATTTCATTTACAAAATTAATTCTGATTATTCCTGATAAGGATATTTCAACAGATTTGAATAAAATATTAAAGAACAACATATGTTTAGATGTTATTTTGACATTACTTAATTTTTTTTATAACCAATTGACACACAAAGCCTCCACCAGGTCTTGCTAATTCACTCTATCTTGGGCCTGTCTTCAGGTTAGTTTTTCCTTTGGATTTCATTTCAGCTTTGTTTGGTCTTCTCCTTGTTATTTTCCCCTCAGGATTCCAGAACAGGGCCTGTTCTTTCCTTAGCACATGGCCTATCCACATCCATTTCCTTCTAGTGACCTCTACCATGTCTTTTCTTCTCACTTCTTTGTTTGAGATCCTCGTGGACCATTGTACTTTTAACTGTGATAAAAAACATTGAAAATCAAGTTGGATACACTGTGTGTGGGAGTATTTTAAATGAAACCTGGTTATACTATAAAGTCCACAAAGCATCTTTAGGCTATATCTTCATTTAATGATAAAAAACCATAGTTTTTGGCTTTTCTTTGCATATAGACGCTTGATACATTAAGAACGACTGAAATAATAATTTGAGTAATAATTAATATGTATTTGTTACATTATAGATTTAATAGATATTTGTTGTTACTTTATTAACGTTTTTGCACTTATACTGTGAGGTAAAAATGGCTGCTGCTATGATTGTCTGGTTTATGAGCTCGTTGCTGTCCTAATTTAGGATCATCTTTTTAATAAATTCTTGAAAATGCTGAAAAAGAGAGAGAGAGAAAAGGGGCCCAGCGATAATGTTTGCCCTGGGGCCATGCTGTCTCTCGATGTTCCTGTGCACAAAGCACAGTTCCATAACTATTGTAATTTAACTGGCTATCTAAGTAAGGCATAAGTGCCTTAAGTAATACCCTAAGTTGTTCTATCTGAACCTGATGATAGCAACTTTCAAACTGTAGGCAAAATAACTAAAAATTACTAGTGAGAACAGGATATCATGTATACTTCATTTGATAAGTTAAAACTTTATTTTTCTGTTGATTTTAAATGATGTAATAGCAAACATCAGGGGGGAATTATTGGCAATTTATGAAAGAGCAAACATGAGAGGAGGGCATGGCAAGTTGGTCTGATTTTCTGGTTTGTATCTTTAAACAAAGAAGATTGGAAGCTATGAAAGAAAGTATATGCCTTAGTAATATCTATACTGTAAAGAGTAACTTACTTTAAACGTAGGACATGTATGGGGGGTGATGAAAAGATAGAAAATGGGCAAGTTGGAGCAAACAAATTTTGCATTACACAGACAAGCAAAGATTGAGAATTTGTTTCAATATTTCCTTTTGAAGTTAAGAAATTAACCCTTTCCAGATGGGTCACAGGTGAAAGGCCATGTCATCACATTTGTTGACTCACATTCAAAATTTTATTGAATTACTACTTTATGAAGTTTTTCAATAAGTTTGGTATCAAACTGAAGATTATAATTCAAATTTGAGTATTATACCATACTCAATTTCTTAATTTAAAAGTAAATATTAAACAAACACAGTTAAACATAAATTTTTTTGTGTCACATGGTATTTGAATGCAGCACTGATTCAAATTAGGTGTTTGTGATGTCAAAATACTAAGTCTATAGTGTCGTACAAATTAAGAACTCAAATTACCGATATTG